ACATACATTCTAAATAAAGTCGTATACGAATCTCATTTTATCGTCCTTCAAAGTTATCCACTCATTCAATCATCCATAATTAACATTATACAGCAAGAAAATTAATTTACTGAAATAAGCAAATGAGTACAACAAAGAGTGAAAAAAAAGACAGCCTATTAGCGTGAGGTAAAACGAACGGTTGACTTTTTGAGGTCAGCAGAAAGACAGTGATGACCTCAAAAGAGACTTTTATTACGTGTGACATATTGACATGAAGCAGATACTGCAATCGAGAACCCTCCCTCCGACACTTCCTTTGAATTTCAGTTCTTCTTTTCTCGAAATTTTCTTTTCAATATTAATTCAAGGGATTCAAAATTTCACACTGGGTGTGATGAAAGCTTTGGCGGGATAATTTGGATAGAATTTCGACAGGCACATATGCGCATGACATCGATATTGAAGGGTCAGGTAGCAGAAATGACCGATTGTTTGTCCTGATGACCAAATGGCCAAATGTTTGATGACCAAATGTTTGTCCTGTAGGGTTAGTCAATTGGTCACTTCAGGTTGCGCTGGACATGCTACACTGAGGATAGAAATGTATGATTTGTCTATTGAGTTTGTTTTAGATAGTGTTTTAAATGGACTGTTTTCAGCAGCATTTCTTTTGTTTATTTCTCTTTTAGAGTGCTAACATCTGATATACTATCCCTTCAACACTAGCATTTCTTTGACTCTTGTAAGTTTAGAGAGACTTTCTAACACATTGTATCGTTGAAATCAAATGAAATACTTTTATTGAGAGCTTACTTATAATTCTGGTATGAATGTTATGAGTTTCCTGCTTAAAAGTAATTCATCTTGAAATTTTACTGCATTCTTAAAAATTGATTTGATGTGGGAAGGTGTTGCGGACTAAAATGGTGCGTGAGACAGACCATCGCAATGTATTCCATTCTCTGTCGCAGCGAGGTGAGTTGCAGTTTCTACTCATTTTGGATGAAAGAAAACAAGATTTTTGACTAGTATCGCTTATGCTATTTGCAGGAGGACAGGGTGTCAATTGACCATTCCTACAATATTTAAAGTTTGAGAGTTTTTTTATGGAATTTGAATTTTTCCCACTTGATGTGGAAATCTATTGAATATTTGTCCATTCATTCTTCAAGCCTATAATTAACATTAAGCAGAGAGTTATCTGAAAGAAATGGTAGCATTTGGTAGCCAATGTCTGTTACGCAATCTAGCAGAGAGTGAAGACTTAGCTCGAGTAGCAAGCATAATGTAATTTCCCTAGAATAATTTAACGAGAGCTGAACGATTTTGTTAATCCATCTACAATTTTCGTTTTATCATTGTTACTTTGGTCATCTACCGTTCCATATCTTCTCTGTGTAAAATAGGATTATGATAATTTAATGTCAAGAATTGCTTAAGCAGTTGTGGCGCATTGTGGATAATTAAGATTTTCAGGGCTTTAAAAATATTTCGATTTTAGTTGTGATTTTGATTGTTTAATTTCTTTTCTTTTAAAGATCAAAATAATCGAATGTTTACACTGTGTTATCCGATGATCGAAAATGAGGAAAATAAAACACATGACTTATACAGTGTTTTTGCGAAATTTGCGTTATTTCAGCGTTGTTTCTGTGTAGTTATATATTTTTTAATTATTCTAATTTCAGTGAGAATGTCGAATGTAGATAAAAATCCTAAAGCTGGCAAAAACGTACGTGTTGCTGTCCGAGTAAGGTAAACAGATTGTTTTTAGCAGACTAACATATATGAGTAAAAGAAAATCGGGAAGGAATGGAAACAGTCATGCAATGTGAAATCAATTGTTAAAGTCAAATCAGTTGCAAAGTAAAACGTATTAAATTCAGGCCAATGAATGATAATGAGATTGCCGAAAAAGCTCGTTGTTCACTAATGGCAAATGCTCGCAAGCGTACTGTTTCTGTTATTGATCGGGGAGTCAATAAGGAATTTGGACCATTTGATAAGGTTCGAATTTCATTTTAATTCGGTC